AAATATATGAATATTGAGATTTACCAGCTGGAAAGTAAAGAAGCTTTGCTAACTCGAAGGAAAATTGACAAAGATTGATTTATTGTTGGCTCAAAATCTTTGTTTTTGTAGCTACTGCTCCAAAAGTTCTTTAAGATATTTAATTTAAAGGATCCATCAATAGAGTATTTATTCATTATTTTTGACAAAATGTGTGTATTGTGAATATTTTAAACATAGTTCTGAAAGTGAGTGAAAATAATATTTTATCCGTCCCTCACTGGTTAAATGCAGGAAACTGTTGAGCTTCAGTTTTTTGCGTCTCTGCAGTAATGTCCTGATGCATCTCAGTAATCCAGGTAAAAAATCAAAAGGAAAAAAAATTGTATAGGTCTTCTGGACGGGTTCTTCTTTAATGAAACGTTTCGTCTCTYCTCCAAGAGACTTCTTCAGTCAGTAAATGTTTGAAAGGAATTGCTGCACATCTTCTCACTGATTGTTCAGGTGTTTTGAGGTCTGAGATTAAAATATCTTGGGAAACGTCTCTAAAGCTGTTCAGGACTAAAAACTGTTTCAGCGACGCTCTCCTGGGTTTAATCTGCGTTTCTTTCAGACGACTTCTTCTCGCTGCAGAATCATCAGGTCAGCAACACTGATGCTTTCCTTAAATAACTCACCTGATTCGACCTTCTTCTCTCTGTGCAATCAGAGCAAACTAATAATGGAGCTGATATTTTTAATCCCCCCAGAAGCCCCCAGCTCTCCTGGAAATGAAGCTAAACAGAACGTCACGTTTCTACTTTGTCATCTTCCTCACATTCATTCTCTGTGGAACAAAACTTTTGTTTCAAATGTTTTAATTGAGTCTGTTTTCTCCAGACGTCTCCTGTAAATTTAAAAACAAATCGTTTGACTTTGTTTTATCTGACCTTTCAGACGWATCATCAACAAGCACACAGACGAGAGCCTGGGAGACTGCTCCTTCCTCAACACCTGCTTCCACATGGACACCTGTAAGTACGTGCACTACGAGATCGACAGCCCCCCAGAGGCCGAGGGCGGCCTGCTGGGACCGCAGGCGGGGACCACCGAGCTCGGGCTCCACGCCGAGGACACGGACAGCAACGTGGGCAAACTCTTCCCCTCACAGGTGAGGAAGGAGACATCACACGATTCAGATTTWAAAAAAAAACTGGGGATTTTTTATTTTTTGCGTTTAGTGAAACTGTATCTGCTGTGATCCTCAGTGGATCTGCTGCGACATCCGCTACCTGGACGTGTCCATCCTGGGTAAGTTTGCCGTGGTGATGGCCGACCCGCCGTGGGATATTCACATGGAGCTGCCGTACGGTACTCTGACGGACGACGAGATGAGAAAACTCAGCATCCCCGCCCTGCAGGACGATGGTTTCCTCTTCCTCTGGGTGACAGGAAGGTAAAGAAAACAAACCTKTACGTTCAGTTTGTTGCTGCTGCAGTGAAACCTGCTGCTCTACACCACCAGTCATCTGTCAGCCACAACCCTGGATTTTTTTAATTCATTTATTCATTTCATTTAAAAATAAAGTTAAAAATTTTATACACAATACTGTAAAGAGAAGAAAAAATCACACTTAAAATGAAAGGCAGAAAGAAGAAAAAAACCTTATAA